AAAATAGTTATAAATAATAGTTATAAATAAAACCTTATAATAGTTTTAAAAACTAGTGCTCTTTAGTGCAAGAGCAGAGCTGGAGGCTGCCAGGACCTGCCTGCAGAGGTGTGGGAGCAGCACCTACCTCTCCTCCTCACTCAGGTGCCGCTGGCTCCTGAACCACTGGATGAACTTTTGGTCTGCTATCAAGAAATAGCTGTTGCATGAAGATTGCAAGAGCTTAATTTGGACAATGACTTCAAATTCCTAAGGAAAGAAATCATCAAATACAGATTCTATTTAGAAATCAAGATAAACCCAACCACACTCATTCATAGATTAAACACATGCAACAACAGACCCAGGACAAACTGAGTTTGACCTGCAGCTCAGTGTCAGCTGGGTGACCATTTCAAGACCACCAAGCAGCAGCACATGAAGTGCTGTCCTTGGCCAAAACAATTCTTAATTGTTTAGAGCAGGTTTTAGAGCAGTTAAGGGCAGGAACTGGCTCCATCCCAGCCCAATCCAAGTCTACTTTCAGGCCCCAGGATGGAGAGTTGGCACAATCTCATTCAGACCGAGGTAGCCCTGGTACCTTTACAAGGCATAACTTTTCTCTGACCAGCAAGGGTCAGGCTGAAAGCAAAAACTGACAGCATTTTTTTTCTCAGCCCCTGTGTACCTGCTTTGCTCTCTGCAGCCTTTTACCTACAGTTTACTGCAGCAGAAGGAAGGCTTACTGTATTTTCTGGAAAGCTAAGGTCTCCTGCCACCAGGGCTGGTTGACCTCAGAGGACAGACACAATTTGGCAAAGGCTTTCAGCAGTTCAGGGATCTGTTCTCTCCTCATGAACATGCATTACAGTTGTACAGCCACATCCAACAGCTGCTAAAGGCAGATGGTCTTGCCAAAAGAACACCCCAAAAAATAATCAAACCCAAAAAAAATCACAGAACATTCAACTTACCCTTCGTCTCTTCTCAAAATTGATCAGGTCACCCTGTTGGAAGGAAAGAGAAGGGATCAGAGAAGAGCTAAGCTTGTCCCTTGAGAGAACTGCACTCAAAGTCACACAAGGTTCTCGTTAGCAGCACTGCAGATTGCTTCCTTTTCCCTTGGAAAACAGAGTTTGTAAGAGCTGCACGAGAACCCAGCAGAAGATGCAGAACAGACACACTCAGTGCTCACAAAAATTGCCCCCAGTTACCTCCACATAGTCCTGCAGGGCTGTGTCAAGCATGATGAGATCAGTCAGGAAGGTGCCAAGGTAGGGGACTGTGCCTTGCATCACTCCCTGCAAGTGATCAGAGCAACATGGGATCAGTTAGCTGGGAAATGGTGATAACTGGAATGCTGGAACACTCCTGGGTAAGAAAATGAAATCAAGCTCATCTGCTTAAACAAACAGCAGCTTAGAATTAGGTTTTCTTTCATTACCTCATTCTTATTATCTAATCTCGAATTTAAATCAAACCCTAATGAGAGCAGGATGCTCTTGCAGGAATTGCTAAGCCATCACATCACTGACCTGCAGCAGTGGGTCCCCAGGTCCCTGCTCAGGGGAGAAGCACTGAGGACCAGGGCCAAGGTCCCTGTCACCTGCTCCAGGAGGAGAAGCTGAGGAAAGGTCCTGGCCAGGCTGTGGGAGCAGTTTCTGCTTCATTTCAGGGGATTTTTACTTCAGGCTGTGTTACACCATGTGACAGTCAAGTCAGATGAAGCCACAGTTTTCCCTCCAAGAAGTTCCTGACCCTCTTCCCCAGCATTATTCACACTGTAAACTCTCTGGCCTGCCAGGAGCTCAGGCTGTCTCTACACTTGTGAAGGAAACGCTTGTTTCTGCCATCCAAAAGGATCTGATTTTTTTCCAGTCAAACAAACAGACAAAAATCATATTCAGCACTTTGGCCTCCCTCCCCCAGATTTCTCTCCCCCTGTCCTTTCAAATCTTAGCCAGCTCAGAGACAAAAGCCATTTCATCAGCAGACTGACCCCAGACACATTGTACAAAGCAATCTCTGTGGAAGCCTGGGCAGTTTTCAAGCTGCATGTCAGAAGTTTCATGAGCTTCTTTAAAAGCAAATGAGACTTCTGCTCTGGCCAGAGCTAGTTTTCTTTATCACAAGAATTCCAGTGTTTACAGCATGTGTTTTACTACATGGAAATGGTGTGGCTTTCCCCTGTCTCTCTCTAAAGGGTAACAGGAGTAGAAAGTGGAATTCTTTCTTGTAGGACAGAAACAAGAGAGCTGAGAACATGTTTATATCCATCCACCACCTCCTGCACACTCCTCTGGTCAACACCTTTCTACATTCTGCTGCTCATAGAATTCACCAGTTAGGGTTGATCACATTACCAGTGCAAAAAGGGAAGGGAAAACCCCCAAACATACCTTGTTTTTTTGGAGTTGCAGTCGCTTCTGGGACCTTTTCAGATTTTCCTTCTCACTGCTGTCCAGATTGGCAAATTTGGATGTTGCTTCCTGTGAGGTGAAAAGGAATTAAAGGCAATTAATGGAGGATGGTAAGTTTCTGTGAAATATTAGCAAATACATTGAACTAGACAAACTAGGCCAACACAAACATTTGCTGTGTACCTACATGTGCTGATTCTCTGGGACTCAGCTTGGGAATTGTGGACAAAAATCCCACGAGATGAAGACAAGGCAATTTTTCTGTACAACAGCTCTACTCTGTCCAAAGCTAAGTGCTACTGAATATCTCCTGGGAGTTTAAACAGAGGAGCTTAGCCATACTTCAGGTATCCAACTGCTTCTCTGAACTCTATCCCAGCACTCCTGACCTAGGATTTCTGTGGAATTCCCCAATCAGGCCTGCTACAAGTAAACAGATCCAGCTTATGGAATGCTTTGTTGTTGTTCTTATGCCACAACACAGAGATCCAGCAAGTGTGGCTTACTGACTAATCCAAACCCAGGCAGGAAATGCAAGGAATCAGCTTCCATAGCCACAACTCCAGCCTTGCTATGCATGGGTGAGCTATTTCACCATAGATCTGTAAGCTCCATTTCCCTGGATGCACAGGGGGTGCTGGAATTCCTGTTGCTTTCATCAGGAATTATTACCAAGGCCTGTTCAGGAGCAGAGAACACTGCTACCTCTCCCTGCCAGCCAACCTGTTTCCTATGGCACTTTGTCTGCTCCACACCTGGACTTTCAGGATGGACAGGCAAGGTCAAACAGCTTCCCTAAAGATGTTATTTATAGCAAAAGAAAACAAAGACTTGGAGGATTCAGTGGATATTACTCCTCCAAACGGTCCAGGATGAAAAGTAGGGGAGAGGTTCTAACTATTCCGTGGAATTTTCCTCCTCTCACTGCTTGCAAAATGTTTTGCAAATCTACTTAGGGCAGCTGGGGAGAGACTTGCTGGGAGCCAGAGGTCTAGGCTCAGGCTGAACTGTTGTTTTGTCTTTCATGTTTAGTTAAATAGGCTGTTCTGGACACACGTGTTCCCTCTATGCTTATTATTGTCTCACCTGCTTCCAGAGCTACCTACAGATGTGGATAAAGGGCTGATAAACAGAACAGACTGAGAGGTCTGGACGTGCTCACCCACCATTCCTGAGCAAACAGTGTTTCAGGTCCCAGGGAGAAGGGTGAGGGACAGATGCCAGACTGACTGGACAGAGCTGCCAAGGAATAAACTGGTTAGCCAGTTTATAGGAACCTTTTTTTCATGTAAGCAGAAAAAACCTGCCACAAACATTCCTTAGTTTTGCACAATATATCCTTCCCTGCTGTTCTTCATCACCCTTTTCAGGCTCCTGAGCTTGTTGGGGTTCACCCAGGAGAGAGCACAAGTCAAACTGTTCCAGACAGAGCCTGCTTTGTTGTCCATCTGGCCACACACAGAGCAGGGAGTCTGTTCCTTCAGAATTCCCAGCCCTGCTTTCCAGTTCCAAGAAAGGTATGGGATAGTCAGACAAACATCCTGGATTGCTTCCTCAGCTGGAGCTCAGTGGCACTGGCCAGTGAAGGCAAAGGCAGCACCAGTGGGGTGAGAGGGCTGTGACCTGCTGTCCCCAGACCTGCTCTGCTCCAGCCTGGGCTTTGTGGGGATCCAAATTCCACAGGCTAATTAGTGCAGGTCCCTTCAGGAACAAGGAAATCAGCCCAGCAAAGAGAGGTTTTCTAGCCTCTCCCCCCTGAGGCACCACAGGCAGCCACCGAGGGAGAGATGAGCTCTGGCAGCTGGTTCCAAAAAGGGATAACCTCAGATTTAACTGAGCTCCCAAGCCTTGCAGCTCACTCCAGTTCTCACCTTCATCAGCAGCTCTCTGCTTGTCAGGTAATTGTCATGATCTGAGAAGATCTCAGACAGCTCTTCATACATCAGCAGGATGTCCCTGCACAGGGAAAGATTAAATCATGTAGGTCGTTAGTGAACACTAAATCAGATCAGGGTTCTGGTTTTCCCCATGAATCCTTAGCAGTTGGATTTTTAAAAGTCAACAGCACAAAATGCATCCAGGGAGATGCTGCACATCTGCTGGGAACCTTCACAGGATCTTCTGGTGCTCCCAGTAAAGTCAGGCCAAGAAACAGCATCAGCACAGAGCCCTGAGAGGAGTTTTGAACTGTGCTGCAGGGTGTGAGACTGGTGCAAGAACAGGCAGAGGAACAGACAAACAGCTGAGAGGGATCCTCAGGACCTCAGCTCTGCCCTGTTCCATGCACCCTGGAGAGCTGGAGGCATTTAGGGGTAGGAGCAGTTTTTTATTGCCCAACATTACAAACATGAGATGGGAATATTTAAATCAGGACCAGGGGGCAGGGAAGGAAAGACCAACCTCTCTGCAGGGCAAATGCAGAGGGAAACTGCATGGCAGGTTGAGAATTTGTCTATCAAAGGCAAAGAAATTTGTTCTTCCTGAACTGAAGGAGCAGAACACCATCAAAAGACACCTTGTGGTGTCTGTGGGGCAGGCAGGGAATATGCCAGGGATACAACTATTAATACAAAACAATGTTCCCCTGGCAGAAATAGAACCTTCAAATACTGAATTTTGTAGCTTGGGGATATATTTTAAGGAAATATCAGGACCAGGAGAGGATTAGGGAGGGTTTGCAGCAAGCTACATCTCCAGGTTTGCAGGAGAGGACAGCAGGCAGTGCTGACCTCCTGGGAGTGGTGTGTGTGAGCTGGAGATGAGCAGTGCCACAGCCTCCCAGAAGAGGTTGTGAAGATGCAATATGCTACAAAGGACAGACTGCAGTATCCCCAAGGGCAGGAGGAAGGAGGAGCTCAGAGCAGGGATTTGAGCCTCCCAGCAATGGGACCCATGCCCGTGAAGGAGCAGAACAAGGAGAGGGAGGAGATGAAAAGAAGGAGCATATGCTACAAAGGACAGACTGCAGTATCCCCAAGGGCAGGAGGAAGGAGGAGCTCAGAGCAGGGATTTGAGCCTCCCAGCAATGGGACCCATGCCCGTGAAGGAGCAGAACAAGGAGAGGGAGGAGATAAAAAGAAGGAGCTTCTGAGCTTTTTGCCCTTGGGAGCAGGAGCAGAGGGAGGGAGTGGCTTACTTTGAAACACACATCCAGGTCGTCTTCAGCCGATAGATGGAGTTGGACTGCAGTGCTGAGATGATGGCCCTCAAGGAAGAAAAGTTCTTCAGGATCCTACATTCCTGTGAAAGGAGCAGTTGGAAACACATGTCAGCACTGCACCTTAGTGCTCCTCACTGCTCCAGGCAGCTGGACAAACACTGAGCAGCAGAAATACCCCTGCCCCCTCAGCCACCAAACACTTCACAGGCTTTGGCACTCAGATCTTGTTTTCCTGACTTTCATGTACTTGTGGTGATGTTACAGCTTCCACCTCTCCCAGTAACAATCAAAGTGGAACCGAATCCATGAAGGCTAAAAAGCACAAAGGTTACACTTCTCCAAAAGCTTTTTATAGTCACCAATCCCTTTTAGCCCTGAGGGGGAAACCAAGCTTTGCCTCCTTCTATGTGGTATTTAAAATGTAAACCCTCAATCATCTAAGTGTCAATTAAAGACATGCAAAGGAATAACCTGTTATTCCAGTACGTGCACACTGTTGCAGAGAAAAACCTTCCAGGGTTGGGATCAAACCTGAACACAGAGATTGGTTCATAAACATTTCTTATGCAGCTTCTCTGTGGCAAAAGCTTTGAGGGAAAATGTTAGAGAAAAACTAACAAAGCAAAAAACTAGCACAGATTGCTGTAAAGCAGATGGAAGAAAGGAGGAGAGGGAAAGTCTGGAAATCTGTGGAAGGAACTCCTGGAAATCTGTTGGTGGCTCATGCACAAGAGCTTGGGCAGCACAACCTTCAGAGCAGGTGTCTGTATGCAAATCCAGCAGAAAAACACCTGCAGTTGGGTTGCTGTGTGGAGATGAGAATGCATTCAAACTCCAAGTCCATTTTTCTGGGGCTCATTATTACC